AATTAAATATTAACATTAATATTAATATTAAAAACTAGTATTGTAAAATTAAATATTAATATTAATATTGGAAACTAGTATTATAAAATTAAATATTGATATTACTATTAATATTGGGAAACTAGTATTATAAAACATTAACATTAATATTAATATTAAAAATTAGTATTGTAAAATTAAATATTAACATTAATATTAATATTAAAAACTAGTAATATAAAATTAAATATTAAAATTAATATTAATATTGAAAACTAGTATTGTAAAATTAAATATTAATATTAATATTAAATACTGGTATTATAAAATTAAATATTAACATTAATATTAATATTAAAAACTAGTACTGTAAAATTAAATATTAATATTAATATTAAATATTATAAAATTATATAAAATATTAAATATTATTAAATATTAATATTAATATTAAATATTATAAAATTAAATATTAACATTAACATTAATATTAAAAACTAGTATTATAAAATTAAATATTAATATTAATATTAATATTAGAAACTAGCATTATAAAATTAAACATTAATATTAATATTAAATAGTATTAACTAGTATATTAAAATTATATTACTAACGTCCGGTACAGTGTTTCCATTTATTTTATTTCCTATCTTCTGATTTCTCTTTCCCTTCAGTGTCTAGAATCCAAAAACAGATGATGATCCGCGATCGTGCCAGTTTCCCAACGTTAACAACCTCATTGTACAACTCTCCGTTTACGTGTTCACGTTTCAGCAGAGACTTTTACGAGATCGCCAGCGTTTATACCTTTGCCATAAAATTTCTGATATAATTAAGCCGCTGCCAACGCAAACGCTCACCCACATATGTACAACATTTCGCATGAATTGATAATCTCGATTTATTCGGTCAATCGTGAATTGTTAATTAATTTCTGGGGGTCCAATTGGCCCGTCGTTTAATTCGACCCACTCAACACGTATTCTCAATTTAATACAATGGATAATGATCCTCGTACTTTTCCGAATGCATAATTATGCATTTGCAAATTAGATATACATATTGTTGCTCTTCTAAATTTTCAAGTATTGACAACAAAGAAGGGAGAGAGGAGAGAATTTCTAAATCGACTTTTGTTCGTTTTTGAACATTACACTGTGTTCAAATGAAGTTAATTTTTTTCAGCAAGCTTGGAATTTTACTTTCTAATGAAAAATTGGGCGATAGTAAAGAAAATGTTAATGTGCATTAAATACGAGTGTAAAATATTTATTTACTTTGTTTCTTTTTTAAATATTTTATTAAATAATATTCGCAATTTTAATATTGATTCATAGATATTCTTATTCTATGAATGATTTATAAATAATATTCATTGACATTCATTCATATTATATATTCTGGAATTTAATATCTTTTCTACTTTAGTACTTTCGTTTTCAGCGTTAATATTTAGTATTAAACAGATGAATAAATATATAAATTGAATATGTTGCAGAATAACGTTGAATTAATATAATATTTCACACTTGTTATTAGATATCTCGAGTTTTTCATATTTTCTAGAGAAATAATCAATCACTATCGCCACGACAAAAACTATTGAATTTGTGAGAATGTATAAAATGGACGTACAAAGTCTCAAAAAATTACTCCCTGTGAAATTCAACAATCTTCCATCAAGATTTCATCTTTTCAAACGACTTCCTTAAAGGGCTAATTTCACATAAATTATTCACAGTCTACCTACGACATCCATGTGTATTTTGTATTTCCACGTGTTAAATTTATTTCCAAATTTGTAGAAGAACAATGGTCAATGGAATACAAACAGCGTCGTGCAACGAAAGAGAAATGATGGGAAACACGTTTGGAAAAATACGTTTTACATGTAATAAAAACAAGAACAAAATTAGTTAAACCCATCGAGTGCTTTGTAAACTCTGGCTTTGAAGTTGCACATTGATAGAGTAAAAGTAAAAAGTTGAAGCTAAAAAGGATTTAACGAAAGTTTGCTAATAGTAATCAACAGTATTAAATTCTATTTGTTTATCCTGTGCAACATCGGAAGATTAGAGACACAAATTTAAGAACAATAATTGTCTCGATATGAAAACACAGTGATTCATATAAGTTGCTGCCTTTTTCTTTAACTAAGCTCGGAGCACAGAGTTTTATAAGTTTGTTTCATTAAAAATATAGAATTGTAAGAAAGGAAATCAACTTTGAAATTGAATTTGAACAAAATTCTAAATATAATGTAATTATAATTGTTTGAAAGTGATAGAAATGATGTACGACCAGTATTTAGACAATTACAAATAACAAACTTTCATTTTGTAAATGACAGAAGAAAGAAATTATAAGAAATCATGGAGAGTATAATTGTGAATTATAACATAAATATAGTGTAAATTATATATTTATAATTGTAACGTGTTATATAATAAAAAATATATTAATATATATTAAATTTATTACTATAGTATATGTTAAAATATGTATTAAATTTATTAGTATAAATATATATTAAAATATATATTAAATTTATTACTATAAATATATATTAATATATACTACTATAATATATATTATAAATAATACATTATATAATAAAATATATATATTATAATATTACTTTATACTCTTTTAAATATTTCATTATTTAGTATTATAATATATACCTATATTACAAAACTATGTTATATAATTATAATTACATATTACAATGCAAACTTTAAGAAACTTGTAACAAATATAAAAATTAAATTATTATAACGAACTAATTATTAAATTATTAATTGTAGTTGTAAACTTAAAAAAGAAATAATAAAGTATACATATTTATAAGAAACAACCATGATTTTGGAGGACTTTTCAAAGGTTTCACTGAAGGTCACCATTCTGTTCATTTGGTTCCAAATATTCTTTCATATTTGCACTGCTCTTGTAAACAGCAGAAATATATAAAGACCCCTGATCTATATACTCTGTACGTTTTGCATATGTGTTTAAATTTCATAAATGCTGTATCACGTGCTGGAATAATTCAATCTCGATAAAATGACTAAATTTAAATAATTTCATTTCTCATCGCGCACCGTCTATAATCCTTCTCAAACATCGTGCATGTGAATACTCGCATTCTGCTTGAAACATAAACACTGCCTTATCCAAGAATTTCTTCCCTGAAACTTTTTGAAATTTTTGAAATCAATCACTTTTCATTATATCTGTTGGCCTTTCATTGAACAATAGTGTAAAACAATTTTTCTAAACAACTAATCCAAATAATATTCCGGATGATTTCCTCAAAACGTCAATGTTTGAAATTGGCTATGTTTCATTGTTCTTTTATTCTCTTATTAAACAATAACGTACAAGAGATCATCTAAATAATTAATCCAAATAACAGTTCGATACGTCGAATTTTTGAAATTAATTTTCCATTGTATTTTGACTTTCGACTATACTTCGACTCTTATGTCATTGAATATTGCACATGCTCGAGATTGTATAATACAACACTCGAATGATTTGTTTGCCGTTTTAACGATCAGTAACCTGATCGTAACTTATAACTGACTGATCATCAGGCTCAATTAAAACCGACTGATTGTAGACTGTGGCCTTGACTAACTGGACGCTGAATTAATTGAAGGCTGCAATGAAACTATGCACTATTTTCTGGCTCTCGTTAGTCGACCTAGTGCATCCTAAATGAAGGTTGCAGTGAGATTGTCTGACTGAAAGCTCAACTAAAATTGAGCTGACCGAGGGTTGCAATAAGTCGGTATTATTTTCTGAGACTCGTCAGTCGACTCTCCTCCAGTGCACCCTAAATGACGAAGAATGAAAGGGATGACGATATCAATAAACGACTGAAGTTTACTGAAATGCTTGCTGTACCATTAACGTTGGAATGTTAATCGTTTCAAATGCAAGAAGGATGTTAATACTTTACAATAAATTAATAATTATACAATTGTAACTAATAACCTAATAATTATATACATTACAGTAATTATTTACAGTGATTATATTTCAGTGAACTAATAATTATATAATTGTATAATTTATAATTGTACAATTATACAATAATTAAATTATACTTTAATTAAAAAACATATATATATATTATATTTATTTTTATATTATTATATTTTTATATAATATGTATTTTTATATTATTATATTTTTATATAATGTATTACTATATTTTATATTATTATATTTTTATATAATGTATTACTATATTTTATATTATTATATATTTATATATTATTATATTATAACTATACACTTATATATTTTATATATATATAAAAATTTAAAAAAAATATATTTTAAAAAAAATTATATATATAAAATATATAAATATATAAATATATATAAATTTATGTATATAAAATATATAAATATATATTTTTAATAAAAAATTGTACTTTTAAAAAAATTTATATATAAAATATTCAAATATATAATTATAATATAATAATATATAAATATATGAATAAAAATTTATATAAATATATATAAATTTATAAAAAAAATTTGTATATAAAATATATAAATATATATTTTTAATGAAAAATTATACTTTTAAAAAATTTATATATATAAAATATACAAATATATAATTATAATAATATATAAATATATAGATATAAATTTATATAAATGTATATAAATTTATAAAAAAAATTTATGTATATAAAATAAATAAATATATATTTTTAATAAAAAAACTTGCACTCTTAAAAAAATTTATATATATAAAACATATAAATATATAAATACAAATTTATAAAAAAATATGAAATACATAGACATATAAATTACTTTCTGACAAGACGATGAATGTTCTGAAATCTGAAGCATGAAAAGCGACTCGAGAATTTCAGAGTTGCTCGATTCATTCGCAAAGTACGACGCACGTTCATTTCGACTATTGTAACATTTAGGGGAGATTTATAATAACATTAATTACAAAATCGCGTTAGAATTCGAACACTCACCGAGAGAAGTGTCGTAGGCGCAAATGTAGTCGCTGGTGGTGAACTGAGCAGTGAGGGCGGTTTTCCCAACCCCGGACGCGCCCAGCATGCCGACCTTGTAAGTGGCCACTCGTTCGTTGCTCGTGTCCTCTTCAGCCTCCATCCCCGAAAGCTGCGACGCCGAGCTGAAACACGCGAGCAGACTCTGACACGAGACTCGGTATCGACCGGCAAGAAAACAGAATGAAACAGAGAGTTCAAAACGGAACCTCGCTTCGCCTTCTCCTCCATTCGATACCATTTCTTTCGGTGAAAATAAAAATGTGCACGTCTGCCGAGATTTAGCCTCTCCTATCGAGATTTAGCTTCTCTTACCGAGAAGCAGAGCAGGGATTTGCTTCGTCCCGTTCATTCCAGACTTTACGATTCGCGCTGTAAATTCTGCCGGACGAACGAGAGACGACGAGAAGCTACAGTGTCGTCGCGGTACTGTTCGATGGTTTTATTAGCGAGTGATCTCAGCTGCACACAGGGTGTTCAAGTTTCAAATTTTCTCCTGTTCCGTGAGAATTGAAATTGTCGTTGTGAATGTCACCGATGAACGAAAGTTGATGATAAAAATGCGTAGCGGTGGTTTGATTGTTGCATATGTATGTATGAATAATTATTGAAAGAATAAGTATTTAAAAATAATATATGCGCATTTATTTATTATTGTATTATTGTTGTGTAATTATTGTATATTATAATATATATATATATATATATATATATATATATATATGTGGTACATATATTATTTAGCATATTATAATAATAACAAATTACTAATATTATAATAATAAATAAATAAGAACATAATATAAGGATAATAAATTATTAAAATTATAATATAATATAATATTAATATCATAATTATAACAATAAATTATTATAATATATTATAATATAATAAAATATTAATATTATAATAATAAATAAATAATAAAATAATATAATAATAATAAATTAGTAACATTATAATAAAATATAATATTATTATAATAATAAATAAATAATAAAATAATATAATAATAATAAATTATTAACATTATATGATAT